GGGGGGGGGGGGGGGGGGAATTAGAACTCTCCTGTGAAAGAGAATATAACAAACAGAACTTACCCACGACAGCTGTGCTTTTGCCCTTCTTCCAGGGTCCAAGAACGTCCAGCCTCTCCTTCACTATATGCACGCATCCACAGACAGAAGAAAGAGCAGTTTCTGTTTCTTATCTCTGTGTTATACTAACTAAATTGAGAATCAGACGAAAATTGAACCTATAATAATATGTATGCACAGGTACCGGTGCCACTTGTCCGCCGCCATCTTCGAATACTCAAAATCTCCAACTGAACAACCCGTGCGGCGAGTTTATACTTCTGCTATCGCCTCAAAGTTCTACTGTTTCCTTCCGTAAATAATGGCTTTGTAACTTGACTGTATTATAAGTGGCCTGTACGCCACAATACACTGTTACACACAGACATGTAGACACAAAATAGATGCGCGTCTTCCACAAAAGTCAAAGAAATGCAGAGAGCAGAGCTAACCTTTCTCAACGCCAGCAATGTTGTTCTGACGCCACGGATACATTTCCAGCTAGTATAACTAGTATAAGCCCAGCTTGCAGCACGTATCGGGGGGGGGGGAGACTGAGGTCAATGACGACACTCTCTTTGTTGCCATAGTAACTACAAGTACTCATTGGCATCATGCCCATTGTGTCTTATGTCGCTACGCACAAACCTTTTATCACTGCTTTCTCAGCCACAGGGTGCCCGATGACATAACGATAGCTGGAGCTGTTGTGCGGGAGAGTTTGCGCCCACGGTTCCTTTCCCTGATTTTGAGTACTCCAAGATGGCAGCAGACCAAGATCAAGAAAATACGGGCTTTACCCCCCCCCCCCCCCCCCTCCAATGCAAAACACGTGTGTGTGTGTGTGTGTGTGTGTGGTGTGTGTACGTGTGTGTGTTCGCGGCGGCAGTTCTCGCAACTAATCACGTCCACAAACGGTACACGGTGAGGCGAAGCTACATGGCACACTGCTGGAGAAGCCAAAACAAAGTAAAGATCAGGTAGTACTTGACCTGTGAGTGGATGGCGGGGGAGAACAAAACCGCTCCCTGCACTGAGCCCGACAGGTACTATCATGCAGAGCTAAACCACGTCAGTGTATGCAATATTGTAATGACACGATCGGGACGTACGAGCCGGTTATCATTAATATTACGCCAAAAGTATGCCCTACTACAGAGCACACATGTTGTTGGTTTGACAGCATGACATATCTAGTACCATACATACAGTGTACAATGTACCACGCAGTCGTGAGTTAGTCACGTGTTGCCCTTTCCTAAAGATGCCAAAATATTTCGCAACTAACTTATGCTTTTCGCAACCATGCCAAAACAAGTGAAAGTAAGTTGCTGAAATCGCATCGATATTTTCAGAAAAAGCACAATAGTTGCTAGTCTCGCAACTCAAAATGAGCGTGTACCTCAGGCCCGCGGAACGGTCCGGCCATGGCTGGACCACCTTTCCCAGATGGTACACCTGATTCATGCAAAACCGGTGTAAACAATTTCAGAGGGTCAGGACTAGGACTTGTGACAAGGATCGTTCAATGGACGACCTCACCTTTCACCAAAGCACTGCAGCATCGGTCTCTCCTCCATCCTATCGAAAATACATACGCGAGTCAACATTGGAAACGAGCGAAAAGCACGAGATCGAGCGTCGATCCGGATCGAGAGACATCTACGTGAATGCTGTACGAGGAAGCCGAAAAAATGATCGGTCTTTCGATAAAGGGCCCTTTGAAGTACATATGAATGCACAATGTTCACAGCGTGTAACATGTTTAGGAGCATGAACAGATTTGGAATGAGTCCTTGACTCCTTAATCCTTGTCCTTTTTGTTGAACATTTACACAGCATTCATGACATAGCGGCATGCTCAGTGCTGCCACATGAGACGTACACTTGTGATGATGATTGTATGCAATGTTTCCCCGCTTCTTGTTGAAGGGGAGCATCACGGACATTTCAATGGTCTCCTCCAACTAATTACTTGCTCCAAGGCGCTCCTCTGCAAACAGTTGCGGAAAAGATGCGAAGTAGTTTGTGAGTTTCAAATTCAACTATGACAATAGAAGGCTTGAGGCCCCCTGCAGCTTCATAATATAAAAAGAAGTTTGAGTGGACACATCCATTCCAGTCTCCCTGCAAATCTGAACCAATTCCATTTTCTAAACAGTTAACGTTTCGGCGCATGGCCATCATCAGGTAACTGAACAATGATACTGTGCCAGCTACAAAGCAGCAGTTTATATACAGGGCGTTTCGCCAAAAGGGTGTAAGTCCTCTGGATCCGAAGAAGGGAAGAAGTGTCAATGGGAGCCCACACCACAGCACAGGTGAGAAAACCAAGGTGCCGCTATACAGCCAAGGTGAATCACATGCATACTGAGGCGAGGAGGTAAAAAGTGTCACGTCAGGTTACATGAAGATGTACATGCATGCAAAGGTGAGAAGAGAAAATAATGTGTCACATCAGCTTACTAGTAGTACTGTCATTGTAATTATTCGCCCATCTTTCAATACACCTCGTTATGATAGAAGGTCCCATCCGGTGCTCGTGTTAACCGGTGGGTGTGTGTTCCTGATCTAGACGGCCTCGCGCAGTTTTCGATGAGCCCTATCACAGCGAACGAACAAGAATGTTAGCTATAACAAAGTGATGATGAAGGACAGAGGACCACGGCAGAGAACGGCCACGGCTAACTTCGAGAACTCAACGTCCTTGCACTGTTTATCACCTTTCTCATTCCTTCCTTCCTACTGTGTCTCAGATGACATCGAGACAGCTACAATAGTAGTCAATACTGTCAGTCGCTGAAGAACTAAGGCTGAGAGAGTTTAGGCTCGAGTCGTAGCCTAAAGTTAAAACCGTTCCTATTTGCATGCATTACAGTCTATGCACAGTTGAGTCACAGTGATACATAATCATTGGTATACTGAGCTTGATTCATGCTGCTTATTGCTAGGCTGGTCGTTCTAGCGGGCTACATTCTGTGGCCCAATTCTCCTTCGGATAAGCCATACTTATTTTTGGCGTTCAGTTTCCCTTTAATCCACTCTTGCCTATATTGAAGAAACTAAATCTCTTACCTGGCCAGCTATGTTGAGAAAATGTCAGTGACAAAAGACAGGCGCACCTGTCATCTTCGCAAGCTTGTGACATTTAGCAGTGACCCTTCATACAGCTGGCGACTGCATTTCACCTTCCTTTTGCCACCACCGCGACTCCTTGTGTCACAACCACTCGCTAACACAGCGCAAACTGTTCATGTTTTGTGCAGCGACTTTCGGAACTGGTCGCCGGGCAGCATGATGCACGAACTATTCTTCTGTCAGCTTAACAGCTTCCCCATGCTTCTGCCACACTTTCTGGTCGGCGTTCACGAACAACACAGCCATCACGATTCAGTAGCCGTAAACTTTTCACGGTTATCAACGCAGCACACCAGAAGGTCAAGGAAGGAGATATGGTGCTTGGTATCGATCTATCTTACAACCTTAGAATAGTTAGATCGTTACAGGGTCGCTGATTTACGCCCAGAGTCATCAACTCTGCAATAGCCATACCTACTCTGTACTACGATAATGACATTGTAGAATCAGTGGTACATGCATAGGGCTTCTGCGTCAAGGAAGGCAAATTAGGTTGAAACCTGATTCCACCCCCAATCCTTGTCATATCGTGTGCATGCGACATAGTCAAAAGATTATAACAAGCCAGAGAGGTCTACATTCAACGGAAACAAAGCCTCGCACTTCGCAGCAAGGCTATGCATCGCTCCGGCTACTAGTACTACATGTACTACACAAAAATTGTAGGCTTGTTGTTAAGTTGTAGGCTAGGATCCAGGACTGCCAACAGTTTTCCACTTCCAGGCTGCTCACAAGTCACACTGTCACAGTGCTCATTGAACTGCAAACAGTGCCAAGTGCCAACCCAGCCAAGCCGAAAACCTCTTCGACAGGCCAGGGGGGGGGGGGGGGGGGGCGCGATTTCACTTTCTGGCACTTGATGGGGCATGAATCATGATTAGTCGGGGATCCAGGACAAAAAAAAGTGTCTAAATCTGAAAGTGGTCTGCCACTAGAATCCGAGTAAAATCGAACTGTACAGGTGGAGAGAGTACCTGTTGTGGAGTCGAATGGTAGTTGTTGGCCCGTCTAGATCGGGGAAGGAGCTCCGCGAGAGGCAATTTTAGTTCAGCTTCGTCGGTCACTTGAACTGCTCACCTTTCGTCTCGGGCCGATTCTGAGTTGCGTAGAGTACGCACATGACAACCAAATGCAGTCAAATTTGAAAACTCAAAGCGAGTGTCTGATCTGGTCGGCGACTTCACTTTGTTGTTGATCATAAAAATCATTCTTGGTCAAGAAGTTTACTCTCCGGCGCTCTTGTAGAAGTAAAGCACAGGGACTTCGTAAGCCTAGCCTAGATATCGTTTGGTCCTTCCACTACCCACTCGCAATGGCAGCCAAAAAACTACCCGTCGTGTCGTGTAGTTTGACGCCGCTTCGCGAGTGATCTCAAATGTTTTCTTGATTGGAATTTCGTTGATACGATCGATACGAGGGACACCTTACCTATCATTCTGCAAAGGTAAGCTTGGACCCTTTCCCTGCTTCTCTCTCAGGCACACACACCTTCAATAGCACTCGATTAAATTAGAGTTAGAGAAGACTAGAAATGATATAAACGCATTGTAGTCACTACTCAATCGAAAATGAAATAAATAAATACTACAACTGTAGTAAGGAAGACATGTCCAGTGCTGTGCAATTCATGGACAATATGCCCAGTTTAATATGTAAATTGGAATAAAATGTAGGATGATAGCGTCATCACTTTAGAAGCCAAGCTATGTACAAGCAGTTTATATACAATGTGTGAACAGGTTAGGTGTGTTGACAGCCATAGCCATAATTCACAAACACAATGGGTGGATTGGACCAGGGGAGGACAGTGCAGTTGCCAGTGTCTACAGCGAGTCGTCAAACTCCTGATCTGGATCCTCATCAGAATCTGAGCTGGAGTCAGACTCTTCAAAGTCGTAAGCACCAGTACTTTCCTCGCTCTCACTGTTTTGGTCGCCTTCACATGCAGTTGTTCCCACATCTGCGGCACCGGAGCTGTCGTTCTGTTCGAGTACGGCCCCAAACGGATTGGCGCATGAGCAGCACGAGCAGATGTCCGTGCAAGCCAAGGACGCCTTCTTGCACGAACAGTGCTGACTTACGCAGTGCCTTGTCTTGCACCCACAGCTCACCAGTTTTAGTATTTCAGCAGGAGCGACGCGCTGCAGCATCCAGGAGATAGAAAGCGTGCCGTCAGTCTCCGACTGCCAGCCATGGCCCACTGGACTCGGCAGGCGCGTGCACCGTATGAGTTTTTTGGTGTCTGGAAACCACCTTTTTTTGGGCAATCTTGCCAAAAGAAAAGCGTGTAGTACTGGATTGGTTATCGATCCTGCAAACGTATCGATCGACGGGCAGTTTACAGTACAGTGACTATGTCCTTATTTCGAAGTGAGAGAGAGTTGCTTTGCATGCAGTTCGAAATACATTATTTTCTTTTTCTTCAGTGGAGAGTAGCCACGGAGGGATCGATCTCTAGCTCTGGTTCGCTCCTGGATTGGCGATGACGTTCAAGAAATCCGTTTTGTCTCGAAATTTGAGTCAAGCACGCGCGATGCAAGTCAGTTCAAGGATATGATTGACGATATCTCCTTCCAAACCGTTGACTCAAATCAAGATCGCCACAGCCTTTCGTTCTCGCTCATGTGCGCAGCAGAGATGTTCGTCAAAAACGTTGTCGACTGGAAGACGTAAAAATGTGCGTCCATGATCCACTTGCGCTGCTTCAGAACGAAGCGCTGCTCCGGCCGCGACTCAAGGACGCGGGGCTTCGCTTTTCTTCCGCGAGCTTCCATCGAAGCAAGGTCCATAACTCTCTATTGAAATCATGTGGAACATTGCCAATACATGCTGAAAACTTCGTCATAAGAACAGAAAGAAAGATACGTCGAATGTAAGCAGTGTTTTGATGAAACAAACAAGCCTGGAGTGGACTAGTGAAGTACCATAGTCTGATAGACATAGTGTTATAGACTGTAGTGTAGCCTGGGCAGCTAGGCCTATCAAACCTTTACGTGTTCAATAATTTTAATTATGACAAACATGCATATGAGTACATTGACTTTTGCACCCTCTTTGCAAATGCTTTTTGAAGTGCTGGTATGTCTAAGGTAACCCGTTTTATCCTGCTATCGATTATACATGTACCAACATTTCCATGTAACCGGCATCGTCCCCTCCCTCCATTCCTCTTTATTCTTATTTCTGTCCTTTCCACCCCTGTACCTGGTTCCCTCTCAGACGCGTTTGTGCCGGCATGATCTGATGATAGCAGTCGGACGAGCCCCGCATCTCATCAGCACCAGTGTTCATTGGTGCCCTGCACCCCTGATCTTGAGTCCTCCCCCCCCCCCCCCTCCCTCCTCCCTAGCCGGCTGCCCTCGCCGTTATCTCCGACGGGATGTTCGGGGGATGCGCATGTGCACAAAATTCATACATAATTATACAATGGGGCCCCAGAAAAAAATTACCAACTCTAGAAACCCCCCTTTCAAGACTCGGTGCACGCCACTGCGACTCGGTACTTCTGGCATCGCAGTGGTGGCGCTCCGCCAAATGTGGGCCTGGTAGTTAGCCCTGGCCACATGTTGATGGAGAGCGTCGCGTGAGGGCGGTAGTTTGTGCGGAGCACAGGATGTGGCCGCACAGAACTTTTGGTAGCGCAGGCTGTTGATGTCTTGCTGGCCAGGATTGCCATACAAGGCACACGCAAACCACTCACATTCAGAAAGCAGCTGGTCATCCGATGTAGCATTGACACCCAGTGTCGCCAGTGCCTCTGCCATTCGCGTGCTTGACAGGAGCAGCTTCAGCGGAGCAGTCTTTCCCTTCCCAGAAAAGGAACTGACACTGTCACACCCAGTAAGAGCATGCAGTCCAACAATTGCAGACGAAACCAGGGGGCCCAGCTTCTGTGACAGCTGGGTAAGGTCGATGAACCGCCTCCGTTGCTGCGTGCCAGTCTGGAATATGAGCCGACCAGGAATGCTGCTAGCGGAGCCAATGGCAATCACGGCTACATCCGTGTCTGGCGACCGAATGACAACATCTGGGAATCCTTGCTGCACAGCATCAGCGGCATGAAGGATCAGCCGGGTGTCTGCTTCCTCATGATTGCTGGTCAACCTGTGAACATGATCAAAATTGTAAAAAGAGCAAAATGATTTCCCGGGCATTCAGAGAACGATAACATGGCTCTGCCAGATTATGTGATTTTCATCACTGAATTCAATCCACCAGCAATATCCTACTTGTACTTGTGGGACCAATATGCAGCAAATGTTTTATACCACTTGCTTGACAATAGTCAAAGTCGCAATAAACATGACATTGTACTGTTTGTCTTTTATAATACTAACCTGGACACTGCCTGGTGCCGTGAAAGTGTCGATTTCCCTTCTTCTTCTTGCAACACGTAGCACTGCTGTCCCAAGGTTATGAATACACTGCGACTGACACCCAATGTTGCCTTGAGCTCCGGTGTAGAACTCCAATGGTCAGCGAAGAACTGGATTAGGCCGGCCTTATTCGCTCTGCTTGCCATGAACCGCTTCCACTGAGTAGGAATAGCCTGGTCTGGACGTTGTACTGCCACTCGCAGGGGCTCAGTTGAGGCCGTTCGCTTTGAGCGCTCGCACGACTTAATCGACGCAGTGTGGTATTGATCTGCTATGAAGTCAACTCGTGCTGGAGGTGTAGCTGGAAGGTAGGAGACTAGCTGCTTGAAGACTTGTTCGCTGAGCTGTCCGAATGTCGGTGGCACAGATGTGTAGCTCTGCAGTAATGCCATCGCGTCGACCATAACGGCAGGACCACACGGAACTGACTCCAGTGGGTCAACTTTCTTCTCAAGAGCAAGCAGCAGCTTACTCTTTGGAGTCTTCACAAGGGATCCGTCTGCGTTGGCCAGGGCCCATGGGACTGGTCCAAGCTCATGCTGGAAGAGTTCCTTCAAGTCGAATGACCTTGATTGAGCCATAACTAGTAGCCGGCCGAATAAGCTCCTATCTGCCACGATCGCTGTTGTCTTGGAAGACTTCTTTGCTGCAGATTTGGTTTCCGAGAACGTCTTCAGGTTCAGCCGTGATATCGGTGTGAAGAAATCAACTGCCTGTAGGAAGAAACAAGTCACGCATGCACACACACACACAAATGGGTTGACAACTTAGAACGTAGTGCATGGATTACGGAGTACAGAACGGAATTATAACATCCCCTACAGCGTCACTTTTGATTTCAATGTGTTTGGTAACAAAGTATGTCACCAAAACATGCATCCTATCATATATCCACACGTCAAGACTTTTAACATGGTGTGCTGCAAAATCATAACCGTCTTACCTGACTCTCCAAGCGGTCTGCCACGAACTTGCTCATTGCACTCTTTCCCTGCGTGTGACTGGATAGGAGATCGGAGGTTGCTTGAGCAGAACAGACTTTCCCACTGGAGAGGCTGATCAAATCTTCACCAAGGAACGGATGGCTGAACTCTGCCAACCGCTTTTCGAGCTTCCCATAGTCGCTTTGATCCCGTTTCATTCTGCTGTCTGTGTTGTCCTTGTGTGGACGTGCTGTGCCATCATAGTCCTCCGCTTTGACGAGGTCGTTACATGCACTTGCAACAGCCGCTCGCTCGTGAGCTGTGAGCACCCAGCGGTGAACAGTTCCTTTATAGGACAATTATACAGAAAAGGGAAGGAGAAATACATCATCATGTACATGTAATCCACAACTGTTCAGGATCACATTAGAGTCGAATCATTTCCTATTCGTGATGCAGGTGGGCAGCACTGTGTTTGCATAGTGTACATTGGTTGCTTACTGTTTGATCTTGCATGTGGGATCATCAGGAAGTATCTCCCCATCAGTGTACATGTATGTTCTATTGGATAATTTGAAGTTTGGTCAGTTGTTACGAATTTTTGCCCTTACCTGGGTTGCGGCTGAAGCCAATGAGTCCTCCATGTGACTTGCTTTGCCGGTTGATGGTCTGTTCAATGCACTGATCAACAGCCACCTTCGAGAAGCTGTTCGTAGACCTTGCAACAGAGAAGCAACCTCCTGATAGGGCTTTGTGGGCAGGAGGGTTGGTAGCAGGCAGTTGACGCATTTGTTGCCAATACAGCGACAGGTACCTGTGAAGCACAATGTAATGAGAACTCAATTTAGGAGAACTGAATGATTCGTATTTGAAGCAAAATGTTTTAATTGCGTCGGTCACACAGCTGATAACTTAATGAAGGGCCCAAGCATCTCACCTGGAGTAGTTCTGTCGATCGTATGCAAAGAACCATGGCAACATGTTCTCTATGCATGCCAGATGTAGCGACCAGTTCCCTGTCCGCGTAGCTCGGATGAATTGAAGCAGCAGGCCAACCATGTCGAGGTATGTTAGCCAAAACTGGGCCATGGGTGATGCTGGGCTGGTGCGTTGCAGCTGAACATGCTTTCGGTACCCTTGCTCAAGTTTCTGGTAGCTGGATGAACTGGTTACTGACTCAGCACCATCAAATATACCAGATGTGCGCAATGCTGACAAAGTTCCTTCAAGATCGCTTGACACCGTGTCTCCTCCACCTTCAATACATGAACACACACGCACATGTACATAGGTCAGAAAATTAGAACACAAAGTGCTACATGCAGACCACTGGAGTGAGAACAACAGGCACCATTTCTCAAACTACTTCACTTCGTCTAGTGTGCACAGATGGAATGCAATAAAGAAAGTTTGCAGCACAACTCCTATGTTTCTGTCCCCTCACCTTCAATGCTGTCCTCGTACAGCTTCCAGTTCACTCCCAGCAGACACTCAAAGGCAAGCTTATGGAGGCGAACACCGCGGTTGTAATGCTAGCCGGCCATCACCTGCTTGCACGCATTGCTGCCAACTACGCCTGACTCGACGAGGAGGTCTTCCAAGCCAGCACTGCCAAACCTCTTCCCAAGAACAGCAAGGAAGGCACACGACGTATGGAATGCACCCATGCGGAGGACTACATCCTTCAGCTCAGCATTTTTCCAGCAAACTTCCACAGCTTTGGCATAAACTGCTTGGTCGGCGGTGATGATACAATGTGGCTGATTCAGCTTCTTCGATGTGCGGAGGGACCGGAAAAACAAGCTCATAAACTGTGCTCATGGCTGTAGGCGATGCTGGGATGATCGGCAGGTAACCGACTGTTGTTGGTGTCCCTGGCGCGGTTGACTGGTTCAGTTCAGCATTGAAGCCGGACCATGCGGGTACCAGTTGTGACTCGACATCAGGTCTACCAAACTTCGGTGATACCGTCTGGTCTGCGCGCAACAAGAACCAAATCAGGTCAATCGATGCCACAGTGAGAAATGGGTCAATCGAGCCTTGTGCATCAGGAACTGGATGGGCCATTGGAGGAGGTCTTGGTCTCGCACCGCAGTTGTATTCTAGGCTCGGAACTGCAGGTGGGGCAACACTTCGCGGTCGGCGTTGGTTACCTGACTCGGCACGGCTCGTACTTTCTGGTGGACACGGATCGTCCTGGAAGGGCAGCGAGTGCTGGAGCACAATGCCGTTGGTGCAGTGTGTCGTCCCTTGGCCACTCAGAGTTTCCTCGTTGAGGTCGTTATTGTCCCAGCAGAAATGAACATCACCTCCATGCTGGGAAATGCCACGGGGTACTACAACACTGCTGGCTGCGGAACTTCCTGCTACTTCGAGAGAATACCCGGTTTCTACTTCTCGCAGCTTTGAATACAATATGCCATGGCCGAACTGGTTGAGAAGATCCACCATGTGCTTGCTCCTCGTGTGGTGGTGGACAGTAAGCGCCAAAGCTACGTGCTTTGGTGTCAGAATAGATCCACGAGTTGCAGCATACACAATATCCTCAGCAATTGCCAAAATCTTGCAATGGATGTCGGCAGGGACATGGACACGGGAGTCCGTCAGGTCACCAATGTCACACTTCTCAGGGCCGACAATGGTCATGGCAAGCACATTGTAGAGGATGTCTGGCACTGGCGCATTCTCATTTACGATATCACTGGCATGTGGCATGGTGGGTATTGTGGGCTGCTGATCACGGATGGCGTTGTTCAGAGCCATGGCTGTGTGGAAGGCATGTACCTTGCAGCTGCTATCAATAGCTGGAGGTGCATCTTCATCCGCCATATCATCTCCAGCATATTCGTCGGCGCACTGCTGGGCTGCCTCAGCCTTGGCTACTGCTGCACCAACTACTTGTAGCAGTTGTGATTCTGTCAAGGAGCTGCTTACAACGCTCTCGGGTGACAATGGACCAGGACGGACGAAGTTGATGCGTTTTCCAAAATGCTCCAACAGGCGCTTCTTCGGCAGCCATCGTCGGTATTGACTTGCAGCTCCGAGCTCTGCCAGCTTGGCGCTGTACTTGGACGTCAGGCTGTCCATACGCATCGCTCGTATTTCTGTCTCAGTGAAGAGCTCCTTCTCCATGCATACAGCTAGCCACTCAAAGGCTCTATCGTACACATTGTCGTCTGCAACTGCCGTCGTCTTCTTTGCCTCCAGTGCTGCCACCGTGCTAGAATGAGTGTAGTTACGGTAGCAGCAGAAATGGTAGCATATGTCCGATGCTACACAATCGGGACTGCCCTCCTGGAGGGTAAGTAAAATCCGCTGGCCTGCTTCATCTCCACGTGCATTTGCCGCACGGATCAGGCTTTCGCCAGCACGGAATTCTGAACAGAGGGTAAGCGGTTCAGCTTTCCGGTTCTTTTTTTTGTTTTTTGTTGACATATTATACACAGAGTGATGTCGATGGTTGTCACTTTGCTTCGTGTCATAACACGCTTCTTGGGAGGTTCATCCTCACAGGCATCTGCGTCACCCACCTCCTCTGCGTCAACATTGCTGGCAAGGCCACCACTCTCCTCTCCCTCAAAACGATTCAGAGTCTTCTTGTGGGTGTAGGCTGCATAGCAGCGCCTATGGTACCAGCCACGCGGGGTGCTCTCATCCGTGCTACACTGCTCCTGGCAGAGAAAGGCCCATGTGCCGTCCTGGCGAATTTTGGCAGCAGATACCACTCGAGACCAGCTGGTGTTCGTGAAATTTACTTTCTCCTCCTTTTCGCTTCCTTCGATCTTCACACAGTGGCACAAACATGAGCCCCACGAAATTTCCGAAACCTGAGTACTGGCTGAAGCCACTAAATGCCCAACACTACCTGGACTTTGTGCACAGGAGGCACAATTCTCGTCTTCCTCCATGCTTACTCGCGTGGGATTGAAATTGAAAGACCTCGTGCTTCCTCAAATAAGTTCCCCGGCCAGCGTCGTCATTTTCTACGGCGTCGTCATTCCTAAATTTTTCAAATGTTTGTCGTGGGTGCGCAATGTGTGCATGCTCAAGCCATGCGCGTACGGACGCACGGCGAAAATAAATTTGCGACCTCCTTGAGAACGCTTGAGAAGGCTTGCGAAATCGTCGACGAAAACCCTCTCGCCGCTCGTCTCCTTCCCCGATTCAGAAGGGCCAACAAACAAAATTGACCTTCTATAACCATCACCTATCAGCTCTGAAAGCGGCAAATACTCGGAGTGAAGTGGCAGACCCAATTTTTTGAGCTTCGGATCCTGTACTAGATGGCCGGCTCGAGCGCTCTGCTTCGGTGCAAAAAAAACTTTAAAAAAAAAGAGTTGATCAGTGATTGTGACTGTGATTTCTGCATTACTGTAGATGATGAAGACACGATCGATACTCAGAATCCCTTGAGGACTGACCATGGCGGAGGATCACAAATTACCAGCGTCTCTCCTGAAGGCGCAGACACGATTGCGTGATGCAGTCAAGGATCGTGGTGTGCAGATCAGCGGAGGTTTAGGAACAGATAAGGAAATAGCTTTGAGCGAGCTCTTTGTCAATCTTACTCTGCTGACGAAGGATGAAGTAGAAACACTTTTCAAGAGCGAGTCGTTCTTTTCCTCCGAATCTGAGAGAGCACGCCAGCTAAATGCTATCAGAGCAGCTCAGGATGGAAAGTCCGCAAAGACGCGTGGCATTGAGCTTAGCGAGATCTTCTCTGACACAGGTAGCGATAGTACAAAGGACCAAGCAAGTGCCAGCGGAGTAGTTGATTCCGAATGTGGACTTCTGTCTCGTGCCGCTAGCAACGTGTCCATTGGAGCGAAAAAGAATAACGTGCTAGCGTTTGGCAGTGCGGGCAGTGGCAAATCTACAATCTTCCTTCTAATGCTGGAATACCTGTGGGCTATAGATTCGCTGTTGAAGGAGAAGATTGATCTTGTCTTGGCTGTTGAACTACGACGTGCTAAAGTGCGATCTGCAACTAGCCTGTGTGAGTTGCTGGAGAGACGGTTCTCTAGTTTGAACATGAAGAAAGATGAGCTGGTGGAGATCGAAAGTTATTTTTGCCGCCATCCATCACGTCTCTGTGTTGTACTTGACGGAATCGATGAATGCAGCCTGGAGAGCTGTAGTATGTACATGCAAGACATGCTGTTGAGAAGGAGCAATGTCGATATGCATGTAGTGGTCACATCTCGACCATGCGCCGATGCGTACAAGTTAAGCCAATGTGGAAAGTACCATCAACAACTGGAGGTTATCGGATTCTCACAAGAGAACGTGAAGACGTACGTGAGAAAAGTGGTGGGCGGAAAACAAGCGGAGGAGATGCTGGAGAAGCTGCATGCACAGCCGGACATGCTAGCATTGATGGGAACTCCATTATTTGCTGCTCTGGCATGTGAGCTGTACCACAGCGGACGTGGCTTGGCGAAATCGAGCACAGCATTGTACGAGTCGCTACTTCTACGTGTCTTGGAGCGGAATGCAGGCAAATTGCACAAGTCGTTTGCCAGGACGGATGCACGGGAGATGGAGTTGCTGTACGAGGTCTCCCGCTTCGCACTTGCAATGTTGTCGGAGCAAAAGGCCGTGTTCAGCGAGTGGGAAGTGAAAAGCGCCGGTCTAAGTGATGCCGCTCTTCAGCTTGGACTTCTAATTGCTTACAAAGACGGCAGCTCGACTGAAAACCGACAGTACCGCTTCGCTCACTTGTCCCTACAGGAGTTCATGTCGGCATGGTATCTGTCACATGAAGTGCTGAAGGACAAGCATGACGCGGCATGGCTGGTGAGGAGAGTCGGTCATTACAGTGGTCACATGACAATGTTCTGGCGCTTCGTCATTACACTGTTACCGCGCAAACCCTCGTTTGTCGTCATAGAGCATCTCTGGCGGCTAATCTGTGAGACGCGTACATCGTCGACATCGGACACTGCCGACTCTCGTCTCGTGACTGACATTGTCAGCTACTCCCATCGCAGGTCTGCACGTCCGGGTCTTGAAAGGATGCAGTCCACGCTTCGTGCAACGCTAACGTATGAGAAAATGAAAGAACTGGCCTACAAACTGCTGGACGAGACGTGCGGTGAGGGCAACGGCTGCCAACGTGTCGAGAGCGCTTTGCCACGGGGGAGAGAGTTGACGGATGAACTATTTCTGTCAACTCTCATCGACGTGTGGAAGAAGGAGGCAGTGGATCCCAACACGGAAGTATTCCTCGCTGCTGTGCGCAACGTCAATCCCGTCGCGGCATTGCAATGCGAGCGTATGATGCGTCCGAGCACCAAGACACCGGACCCGTCATCCACCGAGGACGCTACTGCTACTGCTATGCCTGCAGTTTGTCCAGCGAAGTCGACCGAGGAACGGCGCTATCTGGTTCATCTTCTGGTGGCTCATCATGAACACTGCCAGTATCAAGGTGCGTCCTGTGATGGTCATTGTTCATTCTTTTCACAAGTGTTTCACAAAGGCATTAGCTTTTCCGATGTAAGCCTATCTCTTTTTGATTGTGTATCTATTGGGCACTTTCTCAGCACACATTATTGCTTTGATAGCAGTACCATTGATTTCTGTAGGTCTGGCTGTGGAAATGCTGGTCTGCGAAGCGTTGCTGCTGGTCTGTCGCAATGCAAGGGTGTACGCAAGCTAGATCTTGTCTACAATAAATGTGACGATGGCAGTATACTGTCGTCCATCATTCAGTCTTTGTCAGGCAGTCTAGAGGTGGTCAATGTGTATGGTAATCGTGTAGGTAGTGATGGTGTTGTATCAGTGTGTAAAGCATTGTCTACTTGTTCTAAGCTGAGTTTAGCCCTTGTGCCCAACACTGGTTATGGTGTAGGTGTAGGTGTTGTCCCTCTGTCATGTGTTAGTGAAGTTGTTGAGTCATGCCCTAACCTGGGTACGCTGGTTGCATGGGAGTGTGGTTTCCAGTATGATGATGATTGTTTGGAAAGGTTTGTCAGAGCTGTTCAGTCTCATGCTGTGTTGCATACACTATGGGTTGTACAGAATCCTGGGAATGCCAGACTGGTGTCCCGGCTTGAGCAGCTTATCCGTGACCCTACCTGTACCCTGTCTGTACTTGAGTTATGATGATGACTGTGTTAGTAGCATGTGTACATTTTTGTGAGTGTGTAGATGATTAGTTTCCTGATTCGTCTCTTGAGCACAGACCAGCAGCAGCAGCAAAGCCTAGACCAGTCCTTTTTTTCTACCTATCTAATGTACATAGAGAAGACACTACTGTCGTCAAACTTGAATATTCATTTTTCTATTGATTGAAATAATTTCCATGTCTATACCCCACTCTCGTAGTACAACCACTGTAGAGAATACTTTGTATTTTTTCTTAGTAGCTCTGCTTATAACAATCTCTTTTCCCC